AGAGAGAGAGAGAGAGAGAGAGAGAGAGAGAGAGAGAGAGAGAGAGTCTGCATCAAAATAAAGATTGGCATCTGTGGGGAGGAACTAGTAGCAGGGTGTACAACTTCAAAGAAACCCTTACTTTATAGGAAACAGTGCTTCATTAGGTAGCTTGGACTGTCTCCAAATCCATGATCCTCCTGCCTCAACTTCTCCAGTGCCATGTTCATACCTGGTTAAATAGCTCAGATTTTTTAAAAAGAAAGAAAATTGCTTTAGTTTTGTTATAGGCTCACTGTGTTCTTTAAAAAAAAAAAAGCACATTGACTTCACAGCTGTGTCCGCCATCATTAACATCTCCCATTCACAGGATACATTTGTCACAGTTCGAAAATCAATATTGTTTCTGTATTAGTAACTAAAATTTAACTTCAATTTTTTTATACTTTTTGACCTATTTGAGAACTTATTTGTTTTGACATGGACATGTCTTATCAAGTTAAAGCCGGTGTTTGGGGACTTTGGCTGCTTAGGGAACACGGCCACATTTAGTTCAGGCTTTGTATTCTCCCCAGGGAGGACAAACAGCCACCTTGGGCAGCTTGGGTCACTGAGGGTAAGTAAGTTCAGAATGGGGCCAGAAAAAGGTCTCCCAGGCCTGCTGCAGTGGAAACCCTAGATGCTCTCTGGCCCTTGCCTTCTGTCCTCCTCTGGTGAGAGACAATAATAGCTGCAGCCTGCCTCCCACAGTTGTGACGCTGGTTCCCACGTGCGGTGTGATTACACGTAAGAGATTTTTATCAAGGTGGTTTCTGAGTCGTGGGAGTTGAGCAGATACTTCAGGGTGAGCTGGTCTTTGAGATACTGCTTTTGGATTTCCACCTACCATCTTGATGAAGGCCTGAATCCGCTGAAAGTAGAACCGGAAGTGACCACAACCCCATGTCCTCATTGCTGGGTTGCATGTCACCGACAGGGGAGGTAAAAATGAAATCTCAATCTCTCCCTCCCCCCCCCTCTTTTCCCCTCTCTCTCCTTTCCCTTCCTTCTCCCTCCCTCCCCTTTCTTTTTCCTCACTCCTTCCCTGCCCTTTCCTGCCTTTCACCCTCCCCCACTCTGCTTCTGCTGTTGGGTTTCCTTTTTGTCCTGATGAATCGTGGGCAGTGCATTGCCTGATGAAGAAAACCAGATGATGAGGACCCTCCTAGCTCCTCCAGAAGCCACTTCTGGTTTGGTTGTTTGGTTGGTTGGTTGGTTGGTTGGTTGGTTTTGTTTTTCCCAGCACATGTTGATGTGAAACCCACAACAGCAGGTGGCTCAGGCCCGAGGCAGGTCTGCTCTCAGCAGCCCGTGGACCTGGCTGTAGCAGAGCTAGTGAGGTCGTTAGAATAAAGTGCAGCTCATTCTCCAGTCTCACTTCCGAACCATCTTTCCTCCCCCGTCTGTCTTTGCCTTTTCCTTCTTGCCACACCTTTGGGGAGGGTCCATCCTGAGCTCAGCGTGAGGTCCCGGAATGGATGCCCCACTGTTACCTTCCTCTGTCCGAGCCCTGGGACCTTTCTCCCGAATCTCAGCCCACAGTCACTGTCTCTCCAGATAATGTAATTCAGTTTCACACAGCTCTAACAATTACACCCTGAAAGACTGTTTGGATGACCTGAGAAAACGAAGGCAAACTGAGTTCAAATTCTCCTCTTAGGAAGGTCGGTTGAACGAGAACCGACCAGGTCCTGGGTGCTCAAGTTCTTAGCTAGCTCAGGATGGACAGCATTTCCGCCTTCATGGAGCTGAAAGTTGACGATTATTTTTGAAATATATAAATAACGATAGTATAAAATGTATAAATAATGATAGTAAGGAATGTTGGAGGAGTACGCAAATCTGATGACAGATCGTGAGGGGTCCAGTACAGTCAGTGTGGGGAGGCTGCTCTGGTCAAGGATGTTTGAGGTAAGGATGGAAGGTAAGCTTGAGCAGGCTGGCAGGAAAGGAAGCGTCTGTGGTGGGAGAGACACCTGTGTGTATCAGGAGGAGATGGGAGGCGCACCTCACCCAGGCTCGATGGGAGAATGGCCAGATGGCCAGATGCAGCCTGACCGAATGAATATACCTGTTTTCCTCCCTCTGGCCAGTGCCCACATGCCAGGCCTCTTCATACAGGCCTCTCCATATGTTTGCTTCTACCTCAGGCTACTACCTGTAGCCCATCAATAGATTTCAAAGTTTACTAATCCAAATGACGCTTCCCCTAACTCCAGCTGTGGGGTTCAGCCCCGGTTCTACTTCCAGCCCCCATAGATCTAGAACTTGGCCCCCACCCACCTCCATGAACCCTTCTAGATCAGTTACAGCTCTTAATGTTCTAACCAGAGCAACTTAAGGAAGTTGATTTTGGCTCTCAGCTTGATAGTTCCTTAATGTGGGGTGGGGGATGGTAGTGAGAGCTGCCCCAGCTGTGGCAGCAGAGCAGGAGATCACCTGACAGTCAAGGAAGCAGAGAGAAGTGGCATCTGATACCCAGCTTGATCTTCTTTTTTGCTTTTTATTATTTTTATTTTTTTATTCAGTTCAGGCCCCTTGCCTCTGGATCGATACCACCAGTATCCTGAGTGGATCTCCTCTTCTCACATGAACCTCTCTGGAACACTCCCAAAGATGTGTCTCCTGATGGGGGGGTTCTAACTCTGATTGACAGGAGAGATTAACCCTCACAGTAGCCCTGTTGCTGAGAGATTTAATGGTGATGAATGAGGTATGAAAATCAGGAATTGCCTGCGTGCGTGCGATTCTGAAGTATTGAAAATCTACAGGGCTGAGGAGATAGCTCAGTTGATAAAATGCTTGGCGCACAGCATGAGTCCTGAGTTCAATCCCTACCATCCACCTAAAAGGCAGGTGCAACGGCATGTGCCTGGTGCTTGTGATCTTGGGAAGGCAGAGGCAGGAGAATTAGACTCAAAGGCTAGCCAGTCTAATTAAACTTGTGAGCTCCAAATGCAGTGAGTGACCCTACCTCAAAACTTCAAGTAAAATGTGATTGAGGAAGACACCCAATGTAGATCTCCAAACTTTGGACCTATATATGCACATATACACAGACCCTCTAAATCAGCAGCTCTGGACCTGTGGGCACAAGCAATCCTTTCACATGGCTTGCATATCAGATAGCCTGCACATTGGATATTTACATTATGATTCATAACAGTAGCAAAATTACAGTTAGGAAGTAGCAAAGAAAATGATTTTATGGTTGGGAGTCACCACAGCATGGGAAACTGTATTAAAGTGTTACAGAATTAGGAAGGTTGAGAACCACTTCCCCAAACCCTCTTACACGGACGGCATTCGGGATTCTCTCTTCATAGCTGCACCGCGAGCAAGAGACCGTGGCTCTTTCGAGCTCACTTTAAATAATCCTGCTTGGGAGCTGTTTTTGGTGTGTCACACCATCCCAGATTTCCTTGCCATATTGTGTGTGTGTGTGTGTGTGAGAGAGAGAGAGAGAGAGAGAGAGAGAGAGAAAGAGAGAGAGAGAGAGAGAGAGAGAGAGAGAGAGAGAGAGGGGCTCCCCAAGAAATCTAATGTGGAAGTCCTTCTTGTGCTCACTTATGCCCGTGTGTGCCTAGAAGCCAGAGGAGGATATCAGGTGTCTTGCTTCAACACCCTGAGCCTTATTACCTTGAGACAGGGCGTCTCACTGGGCTCTCGAGTTAGGCTGGCAGCTGGCAAGCGCTGCAATCCTCTTGTCTCTGTCCACTTCCCCCACCACACAGGGACTGAGTTATAGACACGCATGACTGTGCTATGCTCAGCTTATTACATGGGCTCTGGGGAGCCATCTCCCAAGTCTTCTTTTTAATGTTGTCTATTTATTTATTTTATCTTATGTATGCGTGCACATACATGAGTGTATTTGTGTATACGTGCACATGTGTGTGAACATGCATGTAGAAGCCATGTGCATCAAAGCTGGCTTCCTCTGCAATTCTCCACCTTGTTTTTTGAGAGAGTCTCTTACTCAAGATCGACTTGAATGATAGCCAGCCGGCCCCAGAGATCCGCCTTGTCCCGGCCCCTACCCAGTGCCAGGGTTGCAGGTGTGTGCTGCCGACACCTGGCTTTATTTTTTCCCTTGTCGGTGCTGGGGAATCCATACTCAGGTCTTTATACTTGAATATCAAGCATTTTATCTACCGAACCATCTCCCCATTCCCCAGAAGTCCATTTTAACAAAATTACATTGGATCATTGGGCAAACTGATCTTAATACATTATTAATAAAGCTATTTTGAGAGTACAGTATAAATCCTATCTAGAAAAGGCTCAGTTCTTTGGGAAGAATGAGCTCAGAGTCACACAACAGTGAAATGTTTTAGTACAGGGGCTGTTCCTGTGAACATAGTTTAGTCGCCCCGGCTTTGACCCATGGGATGTGTGTCAGGTTCTTCAGAAATGAAACTTGGAGCTTGAAAAACATTTAAGAACCCCGTGGTTCAGTGGCTGTGTCTGGGTTAGTAGAAAGTTTGTTCGAAACACCAGTGCCCAGGACCTGCTTCTAACTGATAGAATCCAAATCTCTAGCCTTGGAGCTGAGCATTTTGATCCCTCATAGTCACGGGAGGGATGCTAACATGAGGCACCCTGGGAAACTTCCAACCTGGCCGAGCTTTCCGCCTTTGTGGAATTCCCTACTATATCCATGTTCCTCAGGGTGTGGTCCAAGAACCTGCCGCAATGGAAGCTCTTCTGGGAGCTACTTATAGATCAGCATCTCGAACCTACTGAACCAGAAGATTCATCTTGTGAGATTCTTAGATAGCATCTGATCACGTTAAACGTGATCTCTGACCAGTCACCAAGGCCCTGACTGCCTGAGCACTTCCTGAGGTGGGGACTCAGTGCTTTACTGGCAATTACTTCATTACTGGAAACCCTATTTAATTATCAGATCCGCCCTTCCCGGGTAAGAGTTGGAGGGGACAGTACCCGAGCCAGAAAGGTCAGGTTGGGAACTAAGTAAGAACTAAAGATAGCATAGGCTCCTCCCTCCCTCCCTCCCTCCTCCACTCCCTCCATCCCTCCCTCCCTTCCTTCCTCTTTCTTCTGCCCCTTAGCTCTTTCCTCCCTTCTTCCCTCCCTCATTTCCAGACAGGGCCCTACTGTGTAGCCCAGGTTGGCCTGGAACTTGCAGTCCCCACACTTCCCACCTCTTGAGTGTTGGGATTACAGGAGGGTGACATCTTGTCCACTCTGAGCCTTTTCTTATTGTGAATGTGGCCATGAACTCAGTCCTTAGACAAAAATGAGAAGGATGCTTTAAAAGTTGGGTAAAATAGACAGAGCTACGTTATCTCACTTCATTTTTTAAAATTGCATCTAGAACCTCTCTTTGCTGAGATATAATTTAGTATTTATTTTTGGAAAGGCACGGGCCAGGGTGAAGCTAAGCATGCCTCTTTTGGGTAGAGTCTTAGTGATGACCCGTAGAGGTTTGTTCCGGAATTTTATTGTTATTGTTATAAAAGTTTCCTACCTGTAATAAAATACACAATAAAATATATCATTTTAATTGTTTTAAATATGCAGTTCCGTGTTGTACGGTCTGTTCAGATTACTGTATAATCCATATTTGTTCCACAGTTTTGAACATCTGAAATTTAAAACCACCAAAAGTCATGGCAGTTCATAGGCAGATAAAGTTGGAGAGCTGACTTAATTCAATGGTTCTAGGCTCCTGTACCCTGCAGTTTTTCTGGCTTTGCTTTTTCAGGTCTCAGGCTCCAAACCCACACTACTTTTGGGAGCAAGAAGGCAAACCACGGAGTTCAGGCAAAGCAAAGAATTTCTCAAAGGAAACAATAATTTTCTCTAGATTTCTGGCCTCGCTTTTGTCACACCTCACCAGCCTGAACTGGATCGTGTACCCATTCTTTAATTGACAAAGAGATTTTTAAGGATCCTCGCATCACGACTTTTGGAAGATCATTTTGCCTTCAATATGGCTAAGTACTGGAAGGGGACAATCCTGGAGCCAGAAGGTCAGGTGGGTATTTGTCATCAAGACAAAAACTAATGGCAGTCTGGAGAAAATGGAGTTCTAGCGAGGAAGGAGCTATGGGGAGTTCCAGAGACATTCCCATGTGGAGACAGTAATTCCATTTTTTTGCCGTTAAGAAAAAAAAAAAAGGCAGAAGTACTTTCCCCTCTCCTCTTCCTCAAGAGAACAATGAGAGCTTTGTGTCCTTAACAATTGGATTTACCCAGGGAGAGTCTGGGGCTCCTTGTGCTGTGGCTACTGTTTAAAGAAGGAAATAAAAAACCAATCAGCCAGCAATAGCAAACACTAGGGAACACCAGCAAGGGCTGGACCCGGGGTGGGGCTGGTGGTGGGGGTGGGGGAAAGACAACAACGACAGCACTTGCAGGTTCCTGGAGTCTGGGGAGACAGAGCAATTGTTGCTGGCTACCTTGAAGATGCAGGACCAAGAGACAGGGTATTTCAGCTCCCATGCAGCATTCCTGAAATGGAGTGGTACCTCCGCCAGGGTGGACTATGGTTACCTGGGACTGGGGTCTAAGAGCTTTGTTCTCCGGGGTCCCCAAAAGAGGGACAGAGGGAGCAGACAGCAGCACACTCGGCCTTGAGCATTGGTGGTGACCATCTTAGTACTAATCCTCATACATGGGGTCTCCTATCCAGAGCATGAGGTCCCTCGCTGATCCTCGGAAGTGAGGATCACTGCAATGACTGGCATAGGGTCTCATCAGCTTCGGGGGGGGGGCGCCTTAAACCAGATTTAAGTGAACAGTGTGGACAGTAAGAATTCATAGGCAGTTATAAAGCAGTTGAGAATTAAGATTATGTGCAGGCACGCCTTACCACCTGCCTAGCTTTGTTTCCGCTGCCCGTTTCTTATCTTCATGGCTTTCTCCCTCACCATCTTCAGTTGGATTATGGCTTACATGACATCATCTCCATGAGTATTTCCCAGTTCCCATATTCAAATATCTCCAACATTTCCTGCTACAGTTCTTTATCCACCCTTGCTCCCCTGAGCCTTGTGGAACCGCCCACCATGTGCTGTAGAATGCTTTGCTTCTCATTGGTGAGGTCGAATGATGTAAATCCCAGGCCAATGGAGGCTGTTTCGACCACCACCTAGTCCAAGTTCATCTGTCAACAAACATGTGCGGGATGAACTAATTAACAAATGGTGGGGCGACCTTGGAGCGACCACATTTTATAATGGCAGACAGGATTTGAAGGGACCCTCCCAGAGCTGGCTGCTCCCTCCTGGACCCTGGATTAGGCACAAACCGCATCCAGCAACCATTTTCCCAGAGAGATCCTTCATTCAGTGGGGAAGAGAAGTTAAGAGGCTGATTTCTGACTCCAAAAATGACAGCAAATGACCTTGCAGGTGTGATTTTTTTAAGAAGGAAAAAGGGGAGGTCTGTGTTAGCAGGGGCTAAGACACAGTGGTGTGTTTAGAGTAGGCATGTAAATTAGGTGAGTCAAAGGGGGCTTTTGATTGCGGAACTTCAATACATTGATAGCTGGATCTTGGTAGTCGTCCTCAGGAGGAGGAAGCAGCCAAATAAGGGAACAGACCTTGGTGGTCAGCTTTAGGGATGTAATCTATGGTTTAGAAGGAAGAGGGAAGGGGAGGAAAAGGTCTGCCAGAGCCATGCCCTGGCCTGCTAAAGCCCTGTTTTCATGTCTGGGCCAGCCGAGCCCTTCAATCCCACCTTTTTGTTCTATTATTGGATCACTGGGTGCTGGGTAAGTGGGCATCCTTCTCTCTGGCTGCTTTCTGCTGACACTGGAGCATTGTTATTAAGGAACCCAATGAAGCTGGGTTCTGATCAAGGTACTTGTACCCTAGGAAACAGGCTGTGAGGCTGGGCTGTCTGGGGTTAGCCAATTTGGAGCTGTCTAGGATGTGGATTCCAAGGACACAGCTGGAGTTGGCGCTGGCGTCGCTGGCGCTGGCATTGCTGGCGCAGTCTGCAACCGGTAAATCAGCTGGAACAGACAGAGACAGAGGTAAAGTTAAGAACTTTAGGGAAATTATTTTTTAGCTTGGATGCATATTTGAAACTTCTAGGCCCAGTACTACTTCCCAGTAGTTGGGAAGAGGAATCCCAATACCAGGAAAAGTGGGGAGAGATCCCAGCATTAGGAGTCAGCAATAGGCAGGAAAGCTTAGGCTGTTGGTTGGCAGGAATACGAACATATCTGAAGTCTGTTTGAGAGTTCTTGAGAAGAGCCAGGAAAATTTTGATTGACTGTATAAGGTTAATTGGGGGAATAACTGTCTTCTGAAAGCTGGGTCTAGTTGTGTTGGGGAGAATAAATTTGAGAGGCTTTTGTTACTTCAGAATGGTCTTTCCTGGAGTGTTCAGGCAGGTTCTGAAATTGAGATATTTTAGGACCATGGATGACTCGGGAGGTTCTTGGCAATGGTTGAGAGGGATGATCTGTAGCAGGTTTGGGGTTGGTGTGGAAATGGTCAAGAGAACTTGGGTTTGGTTCTCAAAGGGTGAGAGACTTGGATGGTGTCTTCATTAGGGTTTCTATTGCTGTGAAGAGACACCATAACCATGGCAATTCTTATAAAGGAAAACATTTATTTGGGATTGGCTTATAGTTTCAGAGGTTTAGCCCATTATTTTCACGGTGGGAAGCATGGAGGTATGCAGGCAGTCATGTGCTGGAGAAGGACTGGAGAGTGCTACATCTTGATCCTCAGGCAGCAGGAAAAGAACTGTCAGCCACTGAGTCTGGGCTTGAGCTTCTGAGACCTCAAGGCCCTCCCCTACAGTGACACATTTCCTCCAACAAGGCCACACCTACTCCAACAAGGCCTCACTTCCTAATGGTACTACTCTGCCAAACATTCAAACACATGAGTCTATGTGGTCATTCCTATTCAAACCACCACAGATAGTCAAAGTGACATGCAATCAGTTGTGGGGGCAAGGCACTGATAACTGAAGTATCACTGCCAGTCAGAGGGGCTGCAGCTATGGGACGGTGTTGAAGAGAGACACAGAGAAAGTAGGGGGAGACACTGGAGGAGTGGTCAGTGACATTCAAGAAAGAGTTTACTTGATGACCTCAATCCAAGTGAGGGTTTGACAATGAGAGAGAGAGAGAGAGAGAGAGAGAGAGAGAGAGAGAGAGAGAGAGTTTCTGTAGATGTCTTGGGTTGAGTTATGTCTTATAATTGGCAGTATGTTTACTCAGGCATTTCATGTCTGAGGAAACCTGGACAGTCAATGAATTTAGGGGAGTCGGTTGGGTGTTTGGCAATCATTTGGGCAGAGAAAGGGGGAATGTGAGAAGCAAGATGAGATTTGTGGGGAATGGGTAATCTTGAGGGAACCAGAACAGGAGGGTGAGAATAAATACACAAAGCAGAGAAAGGGAGTTAGGAAAGTATTTGGTATTAGAGGAGGGTAAGGTATGTTGTTGTATGGGTTATATAGACTAGGGACAAGTGGGGTGAGTCATAAGGGGTGAGAGGGCAGAGTGGTGGGCTGTCATGTTGACACAATTATTGTCTTTATTGATAACGGAAGGGTCTGTCTTATGTGACTGTCCGTTAGGAGGGAGCTGCCGTCCATGTAAAAAGTGTAGGCAGACGTAGCTAGAGAACCTGCTTGTGTGTGAGAGGGATGGGGAGGAGGTACTTGAGAGCTTTTGGACAGGAGTGCAGAGGGTTTGGGGAAGGCTGAGTCAAAGGGGTAAAAGTGGGTAGACTGAAGGGAGAACAGGCGAGGAACGTGAGTGATGAGCTTTTCATAAGAGAGAGAATCTGAGATGGGGGAGGGGTTGGGGTCCTTTGTAAGTCGGGAGTTGAGGGAGAGAGTGGTGGGAATAGATGATCCGTGAGAGGGGATCCCAGAGTTAGTTTGTTAAACTTAGCGCTGAGCAGAGAGGTGAGCCAAGAGTGTGTGGACAAGGAGGTCTGCCATAGATGCTGTTGTCTAGTTTTGCAGAGGTCAGCTCCGGGGGCAAAGGTCAGTCCAAGAAAGTGTTTCTGTGTTTTGGAAGTTTAAAGATGGAAAGATCCACATAGATTTGGGAGGCAGAGAGCTGGGGTAGAAAGGAGACCATTTTTAAGTGTCCTAGATTCGTGACTTGGAAAGAAGAGAAGATGGAGATCTGGTAGCCCCTGGAACTGAGGAAATTGAGGAATGAGCAGTGTTAAAGAAGTAATGACTTTAAACTACTTTCTAGAACCCTCATGACTTACTCAAGCTTTTATATTTTTAGACCTTTGTATACTTTAAGTTGCTTTCGGAGATCTGCACAATTTCTATCATTTATTTTCTTTGGCCTGCATATCTTACTTGTCTGTTTTTCATAACCCTCAGAAACTCCAAATTTCTTTTAGTGTGAAGCCCGTCAGCAAGGCAAACTGTACACATGGAACAGACTGAACGGGCAGCAGGGCGTTTGCTGCTGTGAAAGCTACAGTTAGCCTTCAGAGTCACCAGAGACCTGAGAAGGGGACGTCTGATCAGGAAGTATCATTTAAATGGTTTTTGTGTCAATTAAAATGACAGGGACTTATTTAGACAGCTGTTCAAGGCTTATGTTCATTGGGGACAGAAGCCGTGGTCTTTGACTGCCCGACAAGAGCAACATTTATTCTTCAGTTGACATACAGAGCAGCGGGCCTTCGACTGTCAGACCCCGGTCTGAATTTTTCCTATAGAGGAAGAACTTGGGAAAATTGACCTGACTTTGACCAGGCAGAGTACAGCATTCAACCCCAAAATGTCCACAGTTTGTGCAGGTTCCTGGTGGCAGGGGAAGCATGGGGCAGTTCTATCCCATGGTTGGCATTACCATAGTCCAGACGGTGTTCTCGGTGCAGCGTCCCATCTGGCTTCTTTAGACACCTTAAACTTGTTTTGTTAGGAGGAGGTCCTTGTGTATTGTGGGAAGTTTTTTTTTTTATTGAATATCTTAAATGCCAAATAAAAAGGATCTCTGAGGAGTTTGAAGACCAAACATCTGTTAAGAATGCCTGATTTTAGGCTTAGCCTTAAAAACATGTACAGGAGGCTAAATGAGGCTCATTTCTGTAATTCATCATAACTGTATATATAGCTTTGATCATATTAAAGAATTTGATTGTTCATAAGGTGACTATGAACTTGCATGTCTTAATTTTCTTTAATGGTTCAAAAGCTAGTAGCTTTTATAAGATTGGGATTTTAAGCTTTATTCCTTTAAGTTTGAGCCTTACAATTTAGGTTGAAGATTTAGTTGAAGATCCTTTAGCAATAAATAAAATAAATCATAAATGTAGTAAACCATTTTTTCCTATGGAGGATGTTTCTCTCTGGAGACTCATGTGTCCTAAAACTCACTCTATAGAGTGTATATAGGCTGGCCTCTAACTCACAGAGATCCACTTGCCTCTGCCTTCCGAGTGCTGAGATTAAAGGTGTGCACTACTACCACCTGCCATAAACTACATTTTATTTTTATTTTTTAAGATTTATTTATTTGTTATGTATACAACATTCCATGTATGCCTGCACACCAGAAGAGGGCACCAGATCTCATTACAGATGGTTGCGAGCCACTATGTAGTTGCTGGGAATTGAACTCAGGACCTCTGGAAGAGCAGTAAGTGCTCTTAACCTCTGAGCCATCTCTCCAGCCCCATAAACCATGTTTTAAGAACATACATTACATATTATTTTGTATGACTCAGTTTATCTGAATAGCTAAACTTTGACAAAGTGGCAAAGGCAAGGAAGCTAGACAAATTATTACTGTGAATCTGAGTAGATTTTAAGAATTTATAAACTTTATTTATCAAATATTCCTTATTTATGAGACATATGTTGTTATTTATGTAAATTTTCTTTAGAAGCCTGGTGTTGAACAGTTAGTAAAGATGTAAGTTTGTACCACTACTCCCTGTCTTTTAGTGGCGAAGCTCTGTACTCTGATTTTTAGGCAACCTTTATTTTTTATACTACATTTCTATTTTTGTCTAAAACAAAAAGAAGGCTATAACTAATTTTAAAAAATATATACAGTAAATGAAATAACTATATACAATCTCCTTAAACAATGAAAAATATCCATAACCCAATGAAAGATCAAAAACCACCCACCCCAACTCTTAAATTTACTTTCTGCTGTCTGGGAGCGATGGCATTTTTAGGGGATCCTGATAGGAAAAATTTGGATTAATTGTCAAACCCTGGGAGAGGTGTCTTTATCATTTGTTGTCCAATCTCTGCATAAAGAAAAGTGCAGAGCTTGTCTCAAGTCCTGGGGAGAGTAGTCTGTGAGGCTGGACCATCCCAGCTAGCCACCTAGAAATTGTTCTGAGCAGTTTGTAGTCCAAAGCAGTTCATAGATGGTGTTTTTCATCTTAGTGGTGTTATTATAGTCCTGGTGGAATCACTGCTGTGGGCCCATCCTCCTTTTGGAGATTTCAAAGGTCACTGTTAGGCATGGTCATGGCTCACTGCAGAAGACTGATAGACACTCAAACCTGAAATCATGTACAGGAAGGTATAGGAAGCCTTTTTCTAGAATCAGTTAGTACTCTATATGACCATTAATATTGTGATAAAACGTTTAATATATACATTAATCTTAAAATTTTGGGTAAATATTTATACCTTAAGAAAAGCTGTTAAAGAGTAAATATAAAATCAAAGAATTATGAGATTAGTGGCAATAAAATGGTCATTAAATCTTTTTTCTTCTGTCCCTTATCAGGTGGCTCTTCTGACATGAGGCAGAGATCTTGGATTTTACTTTAACAAGCATGCTTGGGTTTAGAGAAAGATAGAGCCACACTCCAACTCCAATGCCATCTTTAATCTTTAATTGGACTGGGACTACGAAAAGATTATTTGTATTATTTGTCTATAGAGAACAGCAAAAATAAGCGTTTGGGAAGATTTATGAATTATTTTCCTGTTGGGAACGTGATATACTAATAGGACAATTTATTCTTTTTCTTGGGACATTTTTTTCTGGATGACTTTTCTTTTTTCTTCAGATGTCTCATTTGTCAGTGGTCTTTGGATTCCGTACCTGAATGCCTTTGTTCTCCTGAAAAGACAAAAACAAAACCCTTCCCCCACCCTGATTTTGGGGAGGTTCTTTTTTTGACATTCTATCTGATCAAATGAAAAGCATTTGTTAGTTTTATAGGTTAGTTTAGATTAAACGGCCATGCTGCTTGATGAACTGCCATCTCTTCTAATTAAGAGATCTCTCTTGTTCAAATCTTTATCAATTTTGATGGTATCCATAGCTTTCTTTTTCCTGTGGAAGCAAAAACAAAGCCCTATCCCCAACATAAAACATGTTCTTGTTTCCATTCTGAGGTCTAAACATCTTTAAAGTATACTGTAACATGAGGGGACCTGCTTGTTGGGGGTTTTCTGTCCCGTCCGGCCCCCCAGCTGTTTAGTCCCAGAGAAAAGTCACACTGAGATCTCTATAAGTTATAATGCTGATTTGCCCATTAGATCAGGCTTCTTACTGGCTAAATCTCACATCCTGATTAACCCATTTTTCTGATCTATGTTAGCCATGTGGCTCAGTACCTTTTTCAGTGGGGCAGCTCACATCCTGCTGCTTGCGGTGGTCTGGGCAGGAGTGGGAGGAATCAGCTTTCTCCTTCCCAGAATTCTCGTGCTCTCCTTGCATCATTTCCACTTCCTGTCTGGCTTTCCCACCTACACCTCCTGCCTGGCCAATCAGCATTTATTTAAAACATGATTGACAGAATACAGACAATTCTCCCACACCAGTATACAGACTCATTTAATTCTGTTGTTTTTTTCTAGTATCCAATGTCTCTCCACAGCTGTTGTTCCTTTCTCATGAGCATTCAGAAAATTATGGTTAATAAAGCATCATGCAACCTATTTCTGGGAATCTTTATCATTCAATTTTATTCAACATATCCTTTAGAGTTCAATTTGATCTTTCTATAACTGTGTGACCTGTAGGATTGTATGATATACCTGTAATGTGCTTTATAGTATAATAAGCAAAAAATACTGTTTCATTTTCTTAGAGACATATGTTTGAGCATTGTCTGTCTTTATGTGTACAGGTATACCCATGATGGTCACAATTTCTAGCAAATGTGCTTTTTCCAAACTCAAAGAAGTTTCCTATTTAAAACCTGAATAGGTATTAATGGTGTGGTGTACATATTTTAGTTTTACAATGCTACAAATAGAACACTCCATCTGCAAGATTTCATTCCTTCTAGTGTTCTTTGGGCTACTTCCTGCAGGTAGTAGTGTTTGGTTGTATAAAGAACAAGTAGACCATTTCCTTTTAATTTCCTTGGCTTGTTGCCATGCAATGGAAAAGTCGTTTTTTAAACCTTTGTTATCGGCATAGTGTTTGTGTTTTATGAAATTCTGAGGTCTCTCACACAATAATTGATCAATCATTTCTACATTACCTTGTGCTAAAGGGCCTGGCAGACCCATATGGGATCAGATGTGTGTTATGTATATGGGATGATTCCTATTCCTGATTATTTCTTGTAACTGAAAAAAATAATAAAGTCAATTTTGTATCATCTGGTATAAATTCAGTAATTTCAATAAGCAAAACAACTCGTTCTGCATATTGTGGATCAGTAACTATGTTGAGAGATTCCATAAAACCCATTAATACCATGAGAATAGCATGGCCTTTTGGACAGAATCATAATGGCTTAGATTCATCCAGTTTATTTAAATTTCCTGATTTTTAACCTGCCTTTTCTGATTTATTTGCATCAATATAGAATGTAAGGGCTCCAGATATTGGTGTTTCCCATACACTGTGAGGAAGGATCTAGCTAGCTCTCTTTATAAGATGGATTCTCTTGCTTTTGGGCTATTTGCTGTTAACCTCTCATCAGTGCAAACTCTTTACTGGGGTTCACTTTCTGCTCATGGTTTGTCAGCTTCATCTTTAGTGAATGGCACTACAGTTTCTCCTGGGTCTACTTCTGCTAACTGATGAAGTGAATAGTACTACAGTTTCTCCTGGGTCTATTATTTCTGCTAACTGATGAAGTCTCAATTTTCCTTTTAGAATTAACTCAGAGACATTTTCCACATAAGTTTTTAATTCTTTACTTGGTTTATGTGGTAAAAAGATCTGTTCTAAGATAATATGTTCCCTCTGCATTAAAATTCCTGTAGGGGAATGTTTGGAGGGTAATATGGCCAGAATGCAGTTAATATTCGGATACACATGATCCACATGTATCTTCTGCAATTTCTCTTCCACCAAAGCCAATTCTCTCTCAGCTTCAGCTGATACTTTCCTGGGACTATTTAAGTCCTTGTTACCATCTAAGGTTTTGACAAAATTATTCACTTCTTCAGGGCCTATTCCAATAGTGGACCATAGACAGGAAATGTCTCCTAGTAATATTTGAAAGTAGTTAAGAGTCTTCAATTTATCTCTCCTAATTTCCACCTTTTGAAGTCTTATTTTTGTAAGCTTATTTTATAGCCCAAATAATTAATAGAATCTCATCTTTGAATTTTTCAGGAGAAATTTTTAATCCCCAACAAGGCAAAGTTCTCTTTACTTCTTCAAATATTCTTTCTAAAGTATCTACATTTGAATCTGATGGTAAAATGATGTCCATATAATGGTAAACTGTAGATTCAGGAAAATTGTTTATATATCATTACCAACAGTTGAACAAAATATTGGCACAGGGTGGGGCTATTTAACATTCCTTGTGGGAGAATCTTTCATTGATATCTTGGCAGGTTAAGAATTATTTTAAGTGGGCACTGCAAAGGCAAAATTTTCCCCGTTTTTTTTCTTATAAAGGTGTAGTGAAGAAACAATCTTTTAAAGCAATAACTATAAAAGGTCATTCTTTAGACAATAGAGAA